CTGCAAAAAAATATTCGCAGAAATTTTTTGCAAATTTATTTGCGAAAAATAATTTACAGATATTTCTTACAAATTTTGCTACAATTTTAATAATCATAGAATTTTTTTTCCATGGTAAAAATTTGCAGAAAATATTGTAAGAATTTTATTTTGTTTCTTGCAGATTTTCTTGCAAAAATAAATTCACAAGTAATGTTTACTAAATGGTAGAAAAATTTTGCAGGCAAATTTTCCTACAAATTTTAATCCACAGGAAAAATAAAAAAAAGACTTTTTCTTATGACACTTTTATAAAGTTTTAGAAAATCATACATTACAAAATAATTTAAAAAAATGCAAAAACATTTAAAAAAGGAATTTGTTATATAACACCCTATTAATTAATAATACATCTTTCATATATTTTTTTAATTCATTCTTTAAATACTCTTTCTTGAAAAATATTTCTCACAAGGGAAAAATAATATAGTTCCAAAAAAGTATTTTTCAAGAGTACTTTTGGGAATTCGATTATCTTGTGTTTTATATATTTCCTAGGCATGACAATCTAACCCGCTCCTGCGAGTACTCGCCCGAACCTACCCCGATTTGAATGAGAAAAACTCATGTTTATCGGGTTTGGGTTCGGGTTTTCCCCAATTGATAAAATTGGGGGCGGGAGCGAGGATGGGATGTTAATACCCGCCCCCGCCCTGTTTAATAATATAATTAAAAAATTATTTATATATATATAAACCAAAATTAGAAATATTTATATGTAAAAATTTGTATTATTTTACTTTTCTTTTATTTTTTAATTTTTTTTCATATTTATTTAAAATAAAAAAAGAAAAAAAAGAAGAAAAAAAAAGGTAAGAGCGGGGGCGGGGAAACCCGAACTCCACCGGGGACGGGAACGGGTACCCAGATTTTACCCCAGCGGGTATCGGGGGCGGAGGCGGTTTAAATTTGTGGGGGCGGGGGCGAGGAACGTAAAACCAGCCCCCGCCCCGCCCCGTTGCCATGCTTAATCCTTCCAAGCAAACTTACGCTAAAGATGGGTAGACAATTCGTAATATTACTATAAATTCTTGTAGAGATTAGTACTTGATTTTAGTTTTACATGAGATCGTGTCTTATCCTAATTTAAACTTTTCTTCTCAAAGAAAGACAAATGAGTTATAGAAGTTTGTTCACAAAATAATTGAAAATTTATGCTAACATAGATAATATTTTATTCTTAATTTTTCAAAATTATTTTAAATTAGATATATATTTTTTAATTTTGGGTGTTACTACGATACCCTCGTAAATTTAAGGTATTTTGATACAATTCATTTTATCATTGAGTTATATGTTTGATGTTTCACATTTATATGGTTTTTCTCTTTACATTTCAACCATTTTCTTGTGTAATATTAGTTATTCAATATAAGTGTAGAAATACAATTTTAAAACCTATGAATTGTGGAATGAAAAAAATGTTTGTAATAATAGTTTGATCCAACAAAAGGTGAAAGATCTAATTTCTATTTTGTTTGTTCACCAATTTCAAATGTACTCAATGTTTCTAACCAACTACTTAACATAAGTGCAAAACTATAACAAAAAATTAAATAAAAAACTAATTATTAATTTAAAAACCAATAGTTTCATAACCCATCAAATTTATGTAGGCATGATAGAATTTCGTAGTAACTCTCATAAATTTGATGGGTTATGAAACTATTGGTTTTTAAATTAATAATTAGTTTTTTATTTAATTTTTTGTTATAGTTTTGCACTTATGTTAAGTAGTTGGTTAGAAACATTGAGTACATTTGAAATTGGTGAACAAACAAAATAGAAATTAGATCTTTCACCTTTTGTTGGATCAAACTATTATTACAAACATTTTTTTCATTCCACAATTCATAGGTTTTAAAATTGTATTTCTACACTTATATTGAATAACTAATATTACACAAGAAAATGGTTGAAATGTAAAGAGAAAAACCATATAAATGTGAAACATCAAACATATAACTCAATGATAAAATGAATTGTATCAAAATACCTTAAATTTACGAGGGTATCGTAGTAACACCCAAAATGAGAGTTACTATGATACTCTTCTAAATTAAAATGTTTTGGTACGATCAATTTTTAAAACAAAATAAAATGATTTAAAGTGTATTTTTTTTTATTTTCACTTTTTTCTCTCTATACTAAGTGATGTGTTATTGACACACAAATAGATTAACCTGAAATAAATTTATTTGATGGTGAAGAACATCTCTCAATATAAATTTACATACTCTCTATAGAGTTGTTCTCCACCACCAAGTAGGTTTAGTAAATTTTACATACCTCTCTATATATTGCCCTGATGTTCGGCTTACGGTTAACATAGAGGCTTTGTATCGAGATATTTTGTGCCTATCGAACTCTTCCTATGCGCTTTTGTTGGTGCAGTCTTATTGTGATGTATGTTGCTAACTTGCTATTATTCGGAATATCAATGCTGGCTAGAAATTCACATATTCAACTACAACACTCTATGGAGAGAGACCAATAGGTGTGCTAATTTTTACGCTAAACTGAGTCTGAATTCTAGTTTAGCGTATTTAGAGTTGGACATCCCTTGAATTGCTTGAAACCACTTCTTGCTGATGCCATGGGGTACAGTTTCTCCAATTGCAATATTTTCTTTCTTTAGTTTATTTATCTTCGTTTACTCAAAAAAAAAAAAAAACCTTCTCCACATAAATGTTTTGATAAAGTAAAAAAGAATTGAGTTGCTGGTTTCTTTTGTGAGAATTTATGAAATTATCCTAGCTTTAATTAACAAGTCTCTTGTATTTTAGTTATGAATTACTAGATCAATTTAAGACTTAAGATGTATTTTTAATCCATCTAGTATAATAAAAATTTATTTTAATCTCTCAAATTTAAAATTATTTTTTACCATATAATTTAAAAAAAAAAACTCAAATGGTGTTGATAAAACTAAACGTCAAACTAATATGACCTATTACTAAATCTATTGCACAAAATCACTTACTAAACCACCTACTAGTGTCTTACTAATAAAAACATCACATTAAATATCACACAACTAATTCAATTTATCCATGTCATAACTCAATCTATTCCTGTCATATGATGTTGTTGGTAGTCCTTAAGGATTAAAACATGTTTTTTCAAAAAAAAAAAAAGGTAGATGATTAAAAAATTATCTTAAATTTGAAAAAACAAAAATAAATTAATCAAAATTTAAGAAATTAAAAATATATTCATGACTAAATTTAATTATGCCAGAGTTACGTTGAAAACATGGTATGAAGCTATAAAAACCCCCCACACACTTTTTCACTATTATTAGATGAATTTGACGTGGAGCCCATTAAGAAAGAGATTAAGATCATATTTCTTAACAGGACCAATATCAAATTCACCTAATAATAATAATAATAATAATAATAAATATTGCCAACGTTGCTCATTATTGTATACCCAATGATGGGTCAGTAACAATGAGCCACAAAGCAAAATATGTTTAAATTAGCCGGGAAACGACCCAAAGTCAAAATAATTCAAAATATGGAACAACATTAAATATGTAATTCCTTGTCTGTTCTAGTTTACATTAAAGAAAATAAAATGAGCAAAGACAAATGAAACACGGAATGCCTTTTTTATTACTAATATGGCAGCAACGTGCCAAATTCAAATTCTTCCACTAGTTGCCCGTTTCATTCTGCAATCCCTTGAGAGCTATCTGCAACATGTAACAAAAGCAAGTTTCATCTTCTAGCATTCAGTAAAAAATATATGCCAATCAAAGGAAAAGAACAGCACATATTGGATCCATTAAACAAGAGGTTAAATGATTCGTAGTCATCATTACCTTAAAGCATGACAAGGCGTATTGCACATCGCTTGCTGATATTTGGTGGTGGAGAACAACTCTCAATCTGGAATAAACAGACACTGTCATTAGCCTCTTGCCTATTAGCACATTGTCCACAAAGTGGAATAGTTATCTTATATGAACAAATTACTTCAATTATAGAAAGAGAGAGTAATTAACAATGGGCAAGCAGGAAGCAACAGAAGATTTTGGAAGACACCAATACCATCTTTAGCAAACGTTACTTTTCCAATCCCCGACTAAGTCCACCAAAACTGTTAAATACGGAAAAATATTTCCTATTCTATATATATATATAAAAGAATCATGTATGTAATACATATCATCATTAATATTGTAAGTTTATCCGTTGAGCCGTTAACTAAAAGAAAATACAAAATATACAGAGTCAAAATTGAAAATGTTGTAAAATACAAGTGAATTTTAAACCAAGGGGAAACGGTCCCCGTACAAAAATTATTCTAAAACTGATGCAAAACAAGATTTCTCCAACATTTGGATAGTTATCAGATGGATAAACATTGCCACATTGACAGATGACATTATGCTGAGAAAAAAAAATAAATAAAGATCCGCATGATGATTCACTTCTTAGGTTTGGACACACAAATAAGAAGATACTAGTCAACAAAAACAGCAATTAAAACATAAATTTTGAAGGATGCATGGTTCATGTTATAATTAGTCCATTAAACCTCAGAAAAAAACTCAGCACTAACTTGACTTCATTGTAAAGTTTGCAATTGTTTCAATTATATATAACAGACTGAATGTTGTTGAGGGAAAACTAGACCTTGATGAGCACTCTTGCATAACATAGACACCACGTTCTTCCAAGTACTTGCATATCTTTTCTGCTCTAGTCCGTGTACCCTCTTCAATGTCGATAAATATCTAGTATCAGGGAAAGAAAAAACTTAGTCATATAAACATTTGTCACTTATGTTGTTTGCACGTGTCATTGTAGGCTCAGAATTGGGACAAAAACCAAGTAATGACAACGTAATCAGAACATAGTTCTCATTCAAAACAGAAATAATCAGAGTAATAATGATGTTTTTCTATCGTAAACTAGTCACAGTACACCAAATTCTAAATACTCACCATATTGGTCTCCACAGAACTGGCATTCACTTTCAGTCCTTTAATTTCATTCAATCCATCTGAAATAAGGAGAAAAAGTTATAGTAGAATAGCAAGTTTAAAAGAAAAAGGTTTGTGAGTTTTTAATAAATTATAATTCCTCAAACAGACTAGGACTCCACATAAAATCATCTAAAACTGTGACATTTACCAGCAAAAAGTCTAGCTTTTCTGTGATCACTTTCCAGCTTTCCAACATTTTCCTGCAAGCCAACAAGTGCAGCAGCACAAAGGATGCCAATCTGTCTCATTCCACCTCCTAAGGTTTTCCGGAGTCGTCTAGCCTGAAAAAAATGGATAAATTGACTTCAACATTAGTCGTTCAAAAAGAATCTACCTGCTATTAATATCACTCTAAAATTGTTGAACTACCTTGGCAATAAAATTCTTGGAACCAACAATAACAGATCCAACTGGAGCACCTATACCTTTAGATAGGCAAACCTAATTCATATTTTCAAAGAAATAAAGTCAGTTCACTTTACTATATATATAGACGTAACAAGTTTGCTTTGAAATAAGTAATAAATTAGTCCTCTGAAAGTTTCTTCAATAACATAGACAAAAGTAAAACTGAAAATGCCAAGAAGATATACAAAAGAAAACGTACAGAAACTGAATCAGCTGCTTGGACAAGCCTATCCAGTGGAACACCAAGTGCCTGAAAACCAAAGGTTTTAGTTATGCATGTTAGCAGGAAGGAGAAACAAAAAACATACAGGAAGCAAGAAACTGAAAGCTAAATATAAGGCATAATATTATGCTCATACCTCACTATGACAATGAGAAAAAGTGATAAACAAGATTACTCGGTGGAAAATAGGCAGTGAAGGGATCAGATCATATTTAACTAACTTTTCTTTCAATTTTATTTGACAGTAAATTCACATTGTCATATCCATAATTATACCCGTAAAGAAATTGTAGCCAAGCACTGAGATAGGATGGCAGAACGGAAAGTCACTACAGGGTTTTCCACAAGACAACTAGCCCATTTTATGTAGTGGGGCATTGGCAACCAACAGATTTCGTATTCACAATGCTCTATGCAGATGCAAGGAGCAAGAAGGTGTTCGATCATTATGAGATTCCAGAAGTAGACATTTTTTAAGTATTGCAGTCAAAGAAGTTTCATTAAGCTGTGTTTAAAAGGAGATCATATTTCCAAGCAGTTCTCTTTTTCTGGTTGACACAGAAAACAAACAGCCAAGATGATCATTTACAGTTGATCTGTCTCAAATTATGGTTGTGATTTTATGCATCTCTGTGGTTAATAAACTTAGAATTTCCGTCAAATATTCACACTAGCAAAATGCTCATGTCGGGCGTTGAACATTTCATTGTTGTTAACAGTGCCAGATCAAGACATATATCTGTATATCATATACTTGTTATTATAAGAGATCATTTGCTGTGAGATAAAATTTACACAAAATGTATGTATTCACTATTTAGTAAATAAAACAAATTATGTGTGCCGCTATAAAGCTTAATTGGTAAGATTTTTAAGAAATCATAAGTAAAAGACACATTTACTTACAACTGATGCATTAAAAATGCGGGCTCCATCAATGTGAAGCTTCAGTCCATGCTTCTTAGCTATCTCTCCAACTCTGTCTGTATATTCAACTGAGAGGCATCTGCCACCAGAGCTGCATTCAGGTAAAATATGAATCATAATGCTTCTATAAATTTGAATCAGTTAAAAGGAAGGGACTTTTAAAACCCAAGGAAAATTAGCAAATTGCCTGGGCCTGAAATCATTTTAGTAGCTGTGTAGTAGTCATTACCAACAACAGTAAACAGAATAATGAAGTCACTGCATTAAGAAAAGACTGCCGGTGTCTCGAAGAACACTGCATGGGGAAATCATGCAGCACTGGAAAAAACATAAAATGTTCTGCAGCAATCACTGAAGGCTTTGTAATAGGTGGCATTTCAACCCAGCAACCAATATATACATTATCAAAAGGTTATATTATATTATATTATGTGAGTGTGTGTATATATATATATATATATATATGCTTGTAAACAAATTAATAGCAAATTTACAATAGACAATTTGGCATGATAAACTAAATTCTTTTTTTTTTTTTACCAAGGAAGCATAAATTATCAAAATCCCATGTGTAAAGTAGAAAATGTAAACTATTGTGTGGTATTAAGATCACTAAGAGAGTGTCTAAAAGGTGCTTTTTAACCCCCCAAAAAACAAATTGCTTACTTTGCATGAGTATTTTCCAAGCAAATAAGCCTGGTGGTTGGATACAGTAGCTCCCCCCTTGGGTCCCTGATAGCAGCCTCAATCAAATCAATGTCCATGGTTCCATCATCATTATTTTTCACTGCTCTTGGATGCACCCCTCCAATAGTTGCAATGCCTCCATTCTCATAAATATAGATATGGCAATTGTCTCCAAGAATAACTTCACTTCCCCTGACATCACAATGGACAAGTACACAAATAAGGTTCCCCATAGTGCCAGATGGAACAAAAAGAGCAGCTTCCTTGCCCATCATCCTTGCCATCTCTGTTTCTAAGAGAAAAGCAGTTGGATCATTGCCTAGAACATCATCATCAACTTCAGCATTTGCCATAGCAATTCGCATTGCTTCAGTTGGCTTTGTCACCGTGTCTGACCGAAGATCCACATTTCTAGCTACCATCCTCTCTTGAACTGAAACTAGCCAAAAAGTAAAATTCATTTGCCATTATCAGTTTCTCGGCGTTTCCATTTGGTACAAATTTAATTTCAAAAGAATCAAACCACCAATTTCAAACAGACTGATGCTTACAGTAGTAATGATTCTCTGCCACCATTGTTGGATTCAAATTCAATAATTGAGAAGCACTCGCAAATTATCAAGGAACGAAAAAACAGAAAGAGGAGAAAGCGGTTTCCTAAGTTACACATGATTAGTATTTTCCATTACAATAGCAGTTTTTCACAAACTCTGAATAAAATATTACAAACAGAAGCACAGGTATACGTATCGGTAGTAATCTCCACAATCCACGTTTAATTATAATAATAAAAAAAAAGGTAAATTACGAAACTCCCAAGAATTTAGGAGCCGAATTGAACAATTCTACTTAGAAAAACCGAGGGAAAAAAGAAATCACAAATCTTTCCCGTAAAATGAGAGGAGCTATGATCTTGAAATAGTCTCCTCTCTCCACATATTCAAGACAAATAACAACAATAAAAAAAAACCAATAAAATAGAGCATAACACAATAGGCTCTCTGGAAGTCAAATTATTGTCCAATTTCCTACTTTCGAAAACTAAATTCTATATAGATCATTTGAAGCAGCAATTAGACAAGATATAATAATAGAAAAACACTAATTACTCTAAGTTAAGTAAGACCACATCAAATACGCAACACTTGCACAGTACACGATGCATGCAAGACAACCCGTGAACCACCGAAATCAAACTGTTTTTAATTTTATTTTTTGATAAATTTGCAGAGTTTGTGGTTGAGAAAGTATAGAAGCCATTTTGCTGGTTTCATTTCAGTGGTTGAGAAAGTAACAACGTGGCGGATTGGTGAAATTTGAAGAGGAGATAGTTTACCAGATGATCCTCCAAGAAGATTGCAAGTAACCCTAGCGGATTAAGCTGTGCCAGACTCAGTTCAACCTCTCTAAGTGCATGCAGGAAACAAACGCTTTATCGTATTTCGAGTTCAGAGCAGTTATATAGAGACCAGTTTTTACATTCAACTTTCTACTTGGTGCTTGTTTGCTTTAGATTTAGAAACGTGATTTTTCATACTCTCTTCACGTTTACAAGTCAATTTACGTAGAAGCTACAATTTTTTGCTTCTCACAAACGTGAATTTTCACGTCCAAAAGCTAAAGTAAACACGCACTTATTATCATTCCCTCTGTAAGCAAAAATAATCCATTTTATAAATAAAACTAATTGTTTATATTAAATTTTGTAATTATCATAATTTTTTTAAATTATTTTTGTTATAAATAATAAAAAAAAATAGTACAACCGAAAGGTTATATATTAAAAATATATTTTTTAAAAATATTATTAAATAATGTAAAAATAATTAAATTTACTTATATTTTAAAAAAAATTGTATATTTTTGCTTATAGGAGATATATTTTGATAATCACCATTTTAGTCTCTGCTTTTTTTTGGACCATTATACTCCTTAAAATATAAAAAAAAAAAAAAAAATTCTCATATTCATTCTAAATAATTATTTGTAACTTTTAATATTTGTCCGTGTATAATTATTAGAAGTACGAAGTACCTTAGCTCTTATAGTAAACATAAAAAAAATATTAAAAAACAAAAAAAAATAAATTTTAATTACTCTTATTTCATTTAATAGTATTTTTTAAAATATTTTTTTCTTGATGTATAATTTTACAATTACTCCATTAACATTTTTTTATATTTATAATAATGTAATTTAAGAAAAGTGATATAAAGTTAATAAAATTTAATCCACCAATTTTTTAATATGCGTAAAACTAATTCTTTTTTATTTTATATTTATAATAAAAAATGGAAGAAATATTAATTATTTTGATTATGGAAACGTGACACATTCTGGCATTTGTAAATAGAGAGATGGTGTCATCCAATTTGTCTTCTTAACCTTTTGGGGAAGGCTCATCTTAACTAATAACTATGCATGTTGGCGTCGAGTCAGCTCCATTGCTCTCATCTTATTCAGTATTAAAATATGAAATATCATTGGAAAGAGAGAGAACAGTAAATGTTTTTTTTTTTTCTTTACAAAATGATTTTATATTTTTCATTTAAGATATTTCATAATTTTAATTAGTTCTTAATATAAAAAATAATGTATATTACCACTACGGTTAGTCTAACCGGAGAAAAGAGATTGGAATAAAAGTAAAAAATCTAAATTCGATTTTCATCGGCTTTATAATTTTTTTTATGAATAAAAAAATAGTACATATTAATAAAGGGTGGCTTAACATAATATTTTTAAGTAAATTTTAAATTTTTTTTAAAATTAATAAAAATATATTCTGATAAAAAAAATAAAAATATTTTAGAAATGAATTTTAAAAATAATAATATTTATTTATTTTTCAGAGATAAATCTTTTAAAATAAATTTTTAATGATAAAAAAATAATTTTTAAGTTATAAAACCATAAAAAAATTTATATAAATATGAATATAAAATATTTCTTTTGAAAAATTTATTAAGTGAGAGTTTTGTTAACCTTACTTTTGAGCTGAACATGTAAATAATATATAAAAATTAAACTCTTTAAAATATATATTTACTTCCTGAGGATTTGAGTAATTAATTTTTGTAAAGTTTAAATTCAAATTGTGATACATGTCCGTTGGTTTCTTTTTTCCAGCTCTAATATTTAAATTACTATTTCCCTATCTTTTAAGATAAGTGTAATTTAATATTTCTAGAACCTTTTCAAAAAAAGTTTTAAATAATTCAGTATTTTTTTGTGCATATTATATTACAAAATTTTAAGTCAGTTTGACATTTTTTACAAAATTCAATCTATTATATTTCATCTATTAATATTATTTTTAAAAAATATTTTTTTATTAAATATATTTATTGAGTTCAAAAAGTAGATGAAATTCATTTAATTTATGTCTTTTAAAATGCAATTACTCTCATTTTTTTATTTTTGAAATACATAAACTTTGAAAACATATAATTAGGTGTCTCGTTAATTTAAGAATAACTTTGAAAGTAAGTGAAAAAGATTATTTATATTTATGTGAGTGGAGCTAGCTTGTTGGAAGTATGTACTCAAGTTAAGTATTATCGTAAAGGACAAATAATTTGTTTAATTATAAATATGAAAAATTTTACATAGTTAATTAATTAAAAATTATTATTATTGTAAAAGTTAATAAAATTATTATTTATGATAGATTATGAATCATGTATCATTGATAAACTTTTCGTTTAAAGAAACTTTTCTGTAATTCAGATAAAATAAAATTAACTTTTACATAACTTGATATTAGCTTATATATAAAAGTAAGTGAATATATTTTAAAAAATGATATAATAGTATTTTTATAAATTAACTTATATGTAAATTAAATTTAACTTTCAAACAATTTTTAAATTTTTTTTAGAAATATTTCCAAAAAATATTATGAGTTTCCTTTCTAGAGACAGCGAGCAGCCGTATTAGGTAACGATCATTGTCGGCTTTGACAGGTTCACTGAAAATAAATCTCAACCTATGTGAGGAGATTAGTGAAACTATTAACCATTGATATTATTTTCATGAACTTATAAATAATTTATTTATGTTTAACTATTTATGGGAGTATTTAAATAAGTTTATAATATATTTTATAAATTGTGTGTATAAAATATTTTGAATTTATTTTCATAAATTATCTAATATAATTCATTATTTAATTTTTACAAGAATTTATTAAGAAAAATTTAAGTTTCAATTTAGTCATCCACATAAAATTTTTCTTCTTCTTTCACTAAAAATCAATTATATATATAACTTTTTATTTACCTTTTTTTTTTTCTCTTTTCTTCCAATTTTTTTTTTCATCTTTTCTTCCTAAAAATCACATTCTCCTATTATAAAAAAAATCATCTTTTTTCTCTCTCTAAAAAAGCATATTTAAAATAATTTTGTTGTTCATATTTATACAATAAATTTTTAATCATGATTTTATAAAATATATATAATTGATTTAAATTTTTAAAATTTATGGTTCTTAGTTTTTAATCATGATTATACATATAATTAATTTATAATATTTTATTAATAGTTTTATTTTTATAAAATAAAATTAGGTGAATGGTAACTGGTAAATTTATTATTATTTTCTTAACATTATTGTGATGCATAATGTCATTTTTTTTATATTTTTATCTGACTTGAACATGGTTTTATTCCCTATAAAATTAGGAATTTTTCATTTTGATTTATATAAAAAAAATATTTATTTTTATTTTTCTTAAATTTATAAATATTATTTTTTTATCCTCATAAAATAAATAAATTTTGGTTTGATCCTTGTAAAATATTTTCTTTGATTTTCACTTTAAAATTTATAGTTATTATTTTGGTTCTTAATAATTATTTTAAGGTATATAAATAATACTTATTTTAAATAATTATACAAATTTTTAAAGATGTTAAACATGAACGTGAAATTACTAACAGTTGTATATAAATGCTCATTTAATCTTGTAATAAACATAAGGATTAAAAATAATATTTTAATTTTAAAAGGATGAAAAACAAAAAAAAAATTACAATAACTAAAATTAAAAATTCTTAATTATGTGGGGACTAAAAATATTTTTATGTATTTTTATTTTATTTTTGGTCAAAATTTAATTTATATTTTAATTTTTAAATTAATATAACACATTATAAGTGTTTAAATAATGATATATCCAAACACCTTAAAATTATATAAATATTTATTAACACATATATTCAAATATAAAAATTTATTAAGTTTTAAATACTTATAATATAAATTCTTATTATATAAAACTTATTAAACAATATTTTAATAAGTTATTTCTCCGAACAAGCTCACAAACTCAAACAATTTACAAGCACAACTATTTGTTAAAAATTCATTATTGTATTAACTATTATTTTTTTTTCATCTCTACATTAATTATCCGTATACAGTTACCGGTAACATTAAACTATAAGGATTTTTCTTATGTATTTATTTGTTATTTTAAAAATCCATAATAGCATTAACTATTGTTTTATTTTTATCTATGCATTAAAGAGAAAGAATGATGCAGATAATATTAGCTTAATAAATAAGAAAATATAAGTAATTGATTTAGGTAAGAAATATTAGTTATATTTCTTTATATAAAATTTGTTTGGTCTCCTAAAAAAAAATATAAATGTTTTTGGTAAAATTATTATTGTAACAACCTGTCGTGTTCACTATACTTAATAGAATTATACTACTAAGCTAGTCAATTAGGATAAATTATTAAGTTAAATAATATATATATGTAAAAGAAGTAATAAAAGAAAATTTAATCTTTACATTTAAATCATAACAATATGTATATACAGTCATCCAAAATAATATTATCCTCGTGTTGATTAAGCACACCTAATCAATTACCCTAACAGTAACTCCAACACTAGTACAAAAGCATCCAACGCCTCAGCAGCAATTGCACCAACTGCAACTTAACCATGATCTACTCCCATATACAGTATGATCATTGCATTTCATCCACATGGAAATAGAAAGGTAAGCTAAAGTGCAATTAAATAAACATACAAGCATAAGAATAAGCATTTATGTTACACCATCATCAATTCATCAATCATTTCCATAGAGTCAAACAATGCACTCTATAATACAACCATCATGCAATAAATGCAACTCATAAAAGATACCAATGCATAT